ACAAGACAAAAACCCAACATTTAGAAAGCACAGTTTGCAAAAAACATACAGATAGTGTTGTATAGTTCAGAACACAGTTTTGGCTTTATTGACGTTAGCTTGACACGCTGCACTTCCTGTTATGAGCACTGCAAGTTGCTCAAATGCAGTCACAATAAAGAGGGTGTGGGAAAAGTCTGGACACAGTGCACACAGCAGCTCTGATCACGGAAATGTTTGCAGCCAGCTGAATTTGTGCTGTTGCATTAAGACTGAGACTTTTAGCATCCTGTTGGTGAAAGCTTGCACATATAGAGAGAAAGTGATGCTAAGATCCATTAACGTCCCAGCATGAGATTGTTGTTGTTGCTGGAATTTCAGAAACAACTAACGATGCTTGCTTTTTTATTGCTTTTTAATATTTTATATTGGATTGAATTTCTTTTTGTACATGCGTATGAACTCGTTCATGTAGAGAACTTCCAAGTGACATTTGATTAATGTTCCTCCTCCAAACAAAGAAGGAATAACATGATGTGAGATGTGTGAGGTTTTTAAAATATAATCATTGGTTAATATCTGCAACATTTAGAAACAAACTCCATCTTTTTGTGGCTTTAAACAAAAAAATGGTGCTTTTATAGCTTTCTTTTCTGAAGTCAAAGAATCCCCTGAAGACATAAGTGTTAAATAAATTATACTTGCTGATATTGCTCATGTAGTCACAGAGTGATGTAAGCCTTTGTGCCTCTGAGCTGTTTTATTATCCAGAAATGCTCCAAATATAAAAGCAGTGTTTGCAATTTGTTTTTAACTCTGTCTACTTTTGGTCTTTTCATATTATCTCTTGTACTAAAAATACGATGCAACACTAGCTCTATCCTTTAATACAGGACTGAGCACAAGTCTCAACCAACACCTCATTTCTTAATATTTAGTTAGAAAAAAATGCAAAAAAAAAACATGCAGCATTTTACTGAAACGTGCAAATTCACATTGAAATACAGGATATAAGACAAAAACAGAGTTTGTGCTATTCAGTGTGCTTGAAAGCCAATGTTTGAATATTTGACCACCTTTATTCTTCAGCACAGTCTTGGGTTCCTGAACACCACTTAAAGAGAGTTTACTCTTTAAGTGGTGTTCAGGAACCCAAGTTCCCTGAAGAATATTACAAAAGGCATCTTTGGATATTGGCTACCTTTTGTTATGTTTGTTGTCCATTTGTCATTGGCCCTTTTCCTCTTTTTGGGAATGGCCTTGTTGGCATGGGCGTAACTTTGTGCTGAACATTGGGGGGGTCAAGATCTCTGTCTAAATAAATAAATAAATCTGGGTAAATTCCCAGATGATTAAACATGCAACTATTTTGCTGGTAATACCTGAAATGAGTAAAGAAAATCAACGGCCTATTTATGCAAGATAGTTCATAATTTTATTGAGGGGGTTATATTGGCTGGATCTGATTATTGGGGGGGTCATAGCCCCCCTAACCCCCCTGGAAATTACACCCCTGCTTGTTGGTGCAACACTACAGTTTTATTACTGCGTGTTTCTTAGTTTCACCTAAAATGAGAACAAATTATGCATTTTTGTAACAGACTGCTACTAACAATGTGCCTACAGATACAATTTAAAACTGGTTTATGCAGAAAATCATCATTATACAAAGGCTGAACTAAAAATGAGCGACAACAAAGCAGCCAGTGTCTAAAGACAAGAAAAAAGAAGACCTTTAGAAGGACTGGAAAACTATTGCCTCAGACCACTTTAAAAGAATTACACATCTGTTTCCTTTAAAGCAAAATATTAAGAAATGAGTGATGGCTCATGACTGCACAGCTCTGTATTTTGTTTAAAATTCATAGTACTTGGGTTATGAGCATAAAAATGTTGGACAAGTTCTTCAGCTGCTTATGACAGATTGCTTTTGCAGGAGAAGTTTACTGAAAGAGTGATCTTTTTGTCTCAGGTACTTATTTTAGTACTTGAAGTGCTGACACTGTTCCCAGAGAAAAGCCAAAATGTGTGACACAAGTGAGACAAAAAGCAACAATAAATGACTTTATCAGAGATTTCCTCTTTTGTAAGGATTTATTTTGATCACTTAGATATATCTCACGACCCTCAAGGATGCCCTCACTGTTATCAGAACCCAAACCTTATTAGAATATTTAAGCATTAACATTGTGACATTACAAATGTTTGTTTGATGATCATTTATGAGGACGTTTTGCTTTGCCCTACAATGTATGCCATTTGTTTCTTTAAATGAATCAGTGACTCTCATGCAAAGAAATAAGGCTGTTGGTTCCTCTTTTTTCAGAGGTAGCATACAGGACTGGTGAGTAGTGTAACTTTGTCTCCATCTAGTGGCAAAACTGCACATTTCCGCCTCTGTGTCGCAGCTCACTCTTTACTTTTAC